GTGTGTGTGTGTGTGTGTGTGTGTGAGGGGAACAGGGTCACATCACAGGAGAGTGAACTGCCTGTCTGAAATCATAGCACGTCAGCTGTCTTAACCGCGGCTTGTGTACTGCATCATCACTGTGTCTGTCATGCGACTCTGTTGATTTTTCGGGCTTGAACTGATGGTTAAACTAATGACATTATTAACTGTCTTGATATTTACTTTGAAAGCTGACGCTCGCAATTATGGTAAGGGGCGTTACATTTGCGATGCGTGCTTGCAGTGTTCGGCCAATCACAATGCACTGAGTCAGCTGGCCAATCAGAGCAGACTGCGCTTGTCAAAGGAGGGGGCTTTGTAGAGAGGAGGGGCATAGAGGACCTACAATAATGTACAGTATTTGAAAAATAATAATAAAAATAATAATAAAATAGTGTTTTTTGAACATTAAAGCATGTCAACATATTCTGTTACACCAAATACACAAAATAATGATCTTTAAAATAGCATCATATGACCCCTTTAACACTGTTACCGCGGGTTGAAGCGACTCCAATAACATGATATTTATCCCCTGGAATGCAAATTTTAGTAGGGGAACCCCGCCAAAAACACTTGTATTTTCCCCCGGAACGCGATTTTTAACTGGGGACCCCCTCGAAACGCGATTGGGCTAGTTTTGAGAAGTAATGGACTACCAACGTGAAGTAATGTTTTAAATAAAATCCATCACAGATTGAATTAATTGCATCAAACTCGTTTTACCTGACAGACTTCAATGCTTTAGACGTGCATGATATAATGCTGGCATTTACATTTTAAGAGGGAGAACATTATGTGAATAAATTACTTTGTTAGCGGCTCTTCAGCACGAGCCCAACCTAAACAGTGCAACTCTGTATGCATTGGTCTGAGTTTTGCATGTCAAATAAAATCAATTATAATAAATAAATTTGGTCACTTTATTTTAAGGACCAATTCTCACTATTAACTAACTCTTAACTATGATTTTTCCTCGTTAAACTCTTCATTTGTCACCAAATAATAGTTAATAAGCTAGTTTTTAAGTTAGGTATGGGGTAGGTTTAAAGGATCGAAAATATGTTCATGCAGAATAAAGCATTATTATTATTTTATAAGTACTAATAAACAGCCAATATGTTAGTAATATGCATCATAATAAGCAACTAGCTAAAAGTGAGAATGTTTCCTTAAAATAAAGTGTTACCATAACTTTTTTAAATGAATTTTTCCATAATTTTTTTTATGCATCAGTGTTTATTGATCCTTATAACATACCTAATATGTTACTCATGGTTAAGTAGTATTATATTTCAACAGAAATTTATTTTTACCATTAGTTATGAGAGACAAAAAAGTTATTACAAAAATTCACAGCATTTCAACAACTTCTGCTTACAAATTTAAAGGCTGCTATTGGATCACTGAGGGTAAATGTCATATTATGCAACTATACATTACTACATTCTGCCTTAAGAACAAATGGTGCAACCAAATTTGCGAAGTTAGTTACAGACCATCTAATAGTTATTAAGCGTCTAGTGAGAAAGAACTTATGAACAACTGGTTCAACAACTGATGTGATTATTAATTATGTGATTATTATTTTCTGTTTTAGTTGACATCTGGTCAGTTGGCTGCATCATGGCGGAGATGTTGCTTGGAAGGCCACTTTTTAAAGGAAATGACCGTATCTTTTTTGCAATGTCACTGAATTTCAGGGGCTCTGCTTTCACATGTTCTAGTGACTATAATGATTAGTTGACTGATTTAATTTAATGGAAAAATAATATGTTATTCTTTGCTTGAGTATTTAACTGTAGCTATCACTGCACATTTGAAAATCAATCAACTGAACTGACTTTACTACAAGCCACAGTAGAGATTAAACAGATGAAGTCTGTGTTAACTGTGCTACCTCTATTGTATCACTGAATCCTTGACATAGACTTGTAGATCTGGACCAGCTGAGAGAGATCATGAAAATCACAGGAACGCCAGTGCCGGATTTCATCATGAAGCTACAGAGCCAAGATGTGAGTGTATTACAGATAATAAGAAACACTAGGAAGATTAATTAATTGCATGCACACACACACATGCAGACATGCAATTGCACAACTGATGCATGTGTGTTTTCTTCATCCACCCAAACAGGCCAAAAACTACATCAGAGGTCTACCTAAAGTACCAAAGAAAGACTTAAACACTATTTTCTTTAAAGCCCGTTCAGAAGGTAAGCCATTTTTCTTTTGCTACACTGCTAGGGTCAATTGTAAGAGTTATTTGTGTCTAATGAGTGTCTTTTTTTCAGCGGTGAGCGCTCTGGAGCGGATGCTGGTTCTGGATCCAGACAAACGCGTGAGTGCTGCAGAGGCGCTTGAGCTCCCGCTGTTTACAGTGTTCAGAGAACCTGAGGAAGAGACGGAGGCCCTGCCTTATGATCACTCTATGGACAACACAGAAATGCCTCTCGATCAATGGAAACGTATGAGATAACATCTTAATAGCTCAATTATGAAATAAGAGAATTGCTAGGTTTTATTTCTATGAGTTGAGGTCAAGAATGAATAATGTAGGAGAGAGATGAGAAACACATGAAGATTCCTTAGTTCTGATTCATTGACATTTCTGTCTCTCACTTTGCAGGACACACTTTTACAGAGATCCTGTCATTCCAGCCATCCATCACAGAGATCAGGGACTCCAAAGAAACATCCCTCTGAGTGAACGCAGAAATACATGTCACATGTCTAAATGTATGTGAAAAGAAAATGTAATGAATGTAAACTATATGACTTTGTAAGTAAATGTAAGAATTTGTCACAATGTTGTTCAGTTATATAAGGTTCCAGATTATTGTAGTTATGTGAATTCTCTTTATTAGATGACTTGAATATGCAAAATCCATGTTTTACTTGCAACCAAAAAACATTTTATTTGAATGCTAGTCTTAATTTTTTCAGTGTGCCAGTAGGCTTATGTTTTATATACTTTACTGATCAGTTCTTATTTAATTTATTAACGCAATAGTTTACACAGTGTATGCCATGGTTAGCACATTTAACACCACACCTCTTTTTTTTATTAATGAATACTACCATCTTAATGAGAAATTGCTAGTAAATTTCATAAATAATTTAAAAGAAACAGCAAGTACATTGAATTAAGCGTAATATTTGGAAGCAAAAGACTGAAATAGCATTTTCTTGTAAAACATACTCCAATAATCCTTGTTTATTTCAGTGTATAATTATTTGAGATTTTGGCTAAACAAATCTGATTATTTTTCAACAACCATTAGCCATGAGATTGCATAACTCATCTTGCATAAGTTTAGCTTTAAAAACTAAGCACCCAACACAAAAATAAAACTAACATGCTTAACTACTGCTGCTAAAGTTGCACCTGTACTATTTTCCCACAGATGATAGAGATCAAACATTCCATAATAAAGGCTGAAAAATAAACAGCAAAAAATTAACAAACCAGTGTAGCTAAGCAGGTCACTTTGTATGGCATCCTTAAAGCTGCAGTCCGTAATTTTGCCTCTTTGTCGCCATCTCTGTTTGAAAACCTGCAATTGCAGTTATTTGCGCAATTATCTTCCTTGCGTGGGTTGTGCACCGGCACAGCTCCAGCGCAGATGAATCTAACGTTTTGAGGTGAATGTGTGGCAGTCAGACAGACAGACACCGGTGTGGATACTGTACTTCGGAATCACAGATTATTGCCTACGTCTTGGAATACATGACCCAAATAAGCATTTTCACCGGATACTGTCATCTGAACAAGTAACAAGTCTGCCACTTTTGCTCTGACCAACTGAGGAAAAAAGCATTATAATAAATCCCACTACCAATGGTGATTAAATCTAACAATCACTTAGCTCATATCACACCAAACCGTGCACATTTTTATTGTTATACTTTTTTCTCAAATTGTTAATGTTAACAACATCAGCATTGCCTGACTATGTGTATAGTGTGTATTAGCGTGTAGATTTAGATTTCAATTTTTGTACAGTCTAATCTCTAATTGTCATACCATTCGAATTTCATATTAAGAAATTCTTGTAACCCAAAAAGGCAAATTATTCTTCTTTCGAACTGGTTCTCTTTAAAATACAAATCTTGTGTAATCTCACATATGCTATCAGTAATCAGATGCACATTTAAAACTGGAATTTAATTTCAGGTCACATGTATTTCATAAACACATAATCCTTTATGGATTACAATCCACCATCAAAATTATAAATGTAATTATCATTTCAGCTGCTGTGAGAAAAGGCTATAACGATCCGCCACCTCAATAGCCTAGTAGCCGGGACAACTTTTTATGTTTACAGACGTGACCGTAATGACGCAGCGGCATGCTCAAATTTCCCACAAATTCCTACCAGTACCACTCAAATAAATAAAAAAACATTATTATAAGCTAATCGATGTGAATCGGGCTAAAGTAAGGCGATAGTTTTGAACACTGGCTGGTTATGTACTTGCTCAAATATTGATTTCGGATAATTTTTAGCCAAAAAAAAGTTACGAACTACAGCTTTAAGAAGTGCAGAAATTAAGAGTATATTTATAAAAAAGGCATCAAAGATTTTTGAGCATAAATGGCAGAGGTTTGTGCTTTATATCTGTAAAACAGCACTGCTGGGAACTAAAAACGAATTTTAAAGAGTTTAAACTTCTGCTAAAAAGTTAAGGCTTATTATTTTTTAGCACAGCAGGGGGCTGTTTCATAAAACAAGTTGACCAAATAAGCCTTATTTCAGTTAGTCTGACTTATTTTCACTTGATTTGGTTTCATAAAGCAAAATTACCATAGCTCAAACTCAGTCACTCTGGCAACTTATGCTGGAAAACTAACCTGGTCTGGGGCAGGCTAGCTCCTCTAACTCTGACCAATAGAAACGCATTGATAATACCGCTGACTCTCTCACATAGCTACAATTATTTGACAGAAAAATATAGGCTACATGCGCATTCAGTTGAACAGCGGTTTCTAGCCATGCAGCCTTTCTCTCCGGTTTTATGACAGCTGTACTTTATGGTTATTAGTAGAACATTAAAACATTACATACAATTGCTCTTTAAAGCATTAAAAACACTAAATTAAAAGTTAAAATCCCTAAATTAAAAATGAAAATAAATAACATAAAACAGACTATATTTTATGAGGAACACACATTTAACTCATTTGAGTAAGTAATTAGGGCTGTATTAGCTAGCTTATGTAGCAGATCTGATTCTGTACATAAGGAATTTTAATATTTCACTCTTCCCAACAGGCTACACTTACATTTGATTTACAGTTACTGCTATCAAAAATACACATATGTAGGATTAAAATTGATGATTTTGATTTCGTCCATGATTTTGATTTCATTGGGACTTTAAGGGCTGCTTAAGAATAAGTGTGCACATCAAATGATCTGGACTCACTGAACCTGGATCGAATTAGTGAGAACTTAAATTGTTGTTTATGAAACCGCTTTAGTCCCGATTGATTTGTTAGGTTATTTCAATTCAGGGTTTGGACTTTAATCCCCGCTTTTCTTAGCGTCTTTTATGAAACCGCCCCCAGGTCTGTTCCAGAGAAATCACCTTGAGTGTAGAAATCAGCAGTGGTGGAAACAGTACTGAAAAAATATACTCAAGTAAAAGTACCATTACCTTCCCCAAAAAAAAACTCACTACTCATGAGTATCGAGTAGTGAGTACTGAGCTGTGGATTCTACCCCCTCATAATAAACGCTGTACACTGCAATTTATACATTTTAAAAACGTTGCACATTCTGTAATTCACATCATCTTGTTTGTCATAAAAAATGAAGAATATCTATCATCCAGCTGTTTTAATTTGGACTGCCAATGCTTTAAAATACATCAAAACAGCATGGAAACAGTATTCAGTTGAAGAAAAAATGAAAGTTAATCTCAGTACAATCATCCCCATTTAAATCATAAAGTTTGAAAAAATAGATTTAAAATCATGTGTGCCGCGGCGGTCTCGGTGAATCAGCAGCATCCACAACTGAACGGATTAAAAAGTGTTGCACTTGCTAAATGAAGGCGGATTGTATAAATGGATAAAAAAATGTCATCAATAAGGTGCAGCTTGGTCTTCAATTTGTGTTTCCAACACACTTTTTCACAGCGCTCAAACTTATCAAAAGTCAACAAGTTCAACAAGCAACAATGACTTATCCAAGCGAGGCAGTGCAGCTCGCGCGTCTCATAAGTGAGTGGGGAATTTACTGAACGTGGTACTTGCGGGAGTTAACATTGTATGCAATACCCGCAACCTCACACAAAATGTCAGGCCGTGTAGATAGGCAAGCATATATACAAATCATTTAGTAAGCAGAAATCCGAAATTTACCTTAACATATTAAGTTAGAGGAAGATGCGACTGAATTGATGCTTGAAGAATGCCCTTCCAGCAGCCATGATAAACAGTTGGCGGTTAAAGTTTTCTATGCACAATTTGATTTGACGAAAGTCACGAGACCTATTACTATCTCTCTATCCAATCACGTTCATGGATACAAATAAAATTAAAATAAGCATGCAACGACCACAAACGGAGGAAAATAGCGTAGTAGTAAAAGTACCGATGCATCACTTAAAATGTACTCAAGTAAAAGTAAAAGTACACCATTTTTAAACTACTCAAAAAAGTACAATTACTGATAAAAACTACTTAATTAGGTAACGTGAGTATTTGTAATTCGTTACTTCTCACCCCTGGAAATCAGTCCCACCTGTTCAAACGTGATTAGATCCCTATTGTTAAGCAACAGACGTTACCTATGTGACCATAAGCACCGAGGTCTTTATAAAAACCGCACGTTTCTCTCAAGTTGTCTTGACACCATGAGGACAGCTGGTTTATTTCTACTGCTGACGGGTATCTTGGCCAATGGACAAGGTGGGAAACTTCATGAAAAACGGTTTGTTTTTACGAATTGATGGAATTGCTTGTTAAGTTGTTAAGTCCGAATAAAATCCCACAGAGTTGCACTGGGAAAACGGTTATGACCAGTCTCTAGAGTTTAAGTGCCCTGCAGGACAGTCGATATCCTACATAAAGATGTGAGTAAAAAGCAGATTCTACTTCTGTAAATTTATAGATACTGTTAAAATGTCATGGGTCAATGTAGTGTACAAAAATAAGGATGCAGTTTACAATAAAATGAAAGTTGTTGGCCATAAAACATGCATGGTGGAGTCAATATTCAATTTCAAAGAAACTTAAATATTCTCAAAAATACTATAGTAATGAAATGGAACGCATATTCAGAACATCAAATTGATCATTCAATTGCTTCTTACGGTTTCCTTGCATAACGAATAAACCAAGCCAACACGATGACCGGATGTGGGAGTTCGGCTGTAAAAACACCTTTGACTCTGGTGCAGACTGTTTCTTGTCACCTTACGTCAATGATTCTGACCAAACGTTCACCTACGAGTGTCCACCGCACCACATCATCAGAGGAATGAGCAGCTACCACAGCAACAAGCATGAGGACTGCCGGTGAGCTCTGATTCTGGACTGATTTTGATGCGAGTTCACCGGAGCTGAAGTCAATACCATTTTTTTTTTCTCTTCCACACAGCTGGCAATTTTACTGCTGTAGAAGTAGCGGACAGTGTACTGCTAACTGTGAGTGGACTACCGATGTGAACTGTTTTGATGAGTTCTTCCACTGGACCGTCCCAAACCAAAACTACCTGGTGGGTGCTGAAAGCTACCATGAAAATAAACACGAGTAAGTACAGCTCCCCAAATGATTTAAACATTAATTCTGTCTGGTATGTAAACCGAGGGATAATGGTGATTTATTGGGTAAATAAACCTGGCAAGCTTCATATGACCCTGAAGGGGTTTGTTTTGAGAATGATCAGCTGCCTGCTTATTACAGGGCTGCTTTCCAAATAAATATGGTTATGGTCAATTATACAGTAAT